TCAGAGAGTTTTCCTGGGGAATATTATTTGAAGGGGAAGAGATAAGACATGACAAGTAACAGTTGATTGATTTCCTACTCAATAAATAGAAAATTATTCTAGAAAATAAAATTTAGGTTCACTGTTTATCAGGTAGACTGCAATATTTCAAATTACTCAAATGCCAAATGTAACTTTTAACTTCTCCTTGGTTAACTTTAAATTTTGATTCTAAGACGCTGGATGTACTTAGACATTTAGTTAATTTTTTAAAGAATTTGTTTTTAATCAAATCATTTGGAAAGTTAAATAGGAAAGTCATAATCGCTCAAAAATATATTTAAAAAATGAAGACTCACTTATGGAGCCTTCATACTACTTAAAAAAAAATACTAAATAGCCCTAGTTATTAGTAATACTAAATAGCACTACCTGTAGTGGCTACATTGTTAGAATATGTAAAAAAGATCATTTGGAGATTTTCAGTCTGGCAGAAGTTTTGAAGGTAAATCTACTGATTAGAACCTGTCCACAATGCTGCAAGGCTATTATCTGTACTATGGCAATTCCATACTACTTTCATTTGATATGCTTGCTTTTTTCCCTTAAGATCTAGAATTTCTATTTAAATATAAAGTGATTTTTTGAAATACAATGTAAAATATTTCCAAGAAAGCTACACTTAAAAATAAACACTAGGAAATGTTCCTGCTTCTCTACCAAAATAATTTTTAACTGAAATTATTTAAATTGAATAGATGCTAAAACATAAAAGCAAGAAAATATTTATTTATAAATTGCAGCTTCAAGATAAATATGATGTGCTTATTTCCAAAGTGAAGAAACAGTTAAACAAATGGTAAATATGGAACTTCTTTAGCTCTCATTTTCATTTGTTTTATTCCGTCCATTTCATTCATTTCATTTCACTAGTAACAAGTAAAAGAATGAAAAAGAATTTCACTTATTTATTTATTTATCAAGTTAGCTGTCTCACTCTGTCGCTCAGGTTGGATTGCAGTGACATGACCACAGCTCACCACAGCTTCAACCTCCTGGGCTCAGGCAATCCTTTTGCCTCAGTTTCTTGAGTAGCTGGAACTGTAAGCATGCACCACCATGCCCAGCTAATTTTTTAATTTTTTGTAGAGACAAGGTCTCACTACATTGCCATTGCCTAGGCTGGTCTCAAACTCCCCGGCTCCCAAAGTGCTGGGATTACAGGCATGAGCCACTGTACCCAGCCTGAAACAACAGGTATATGAAAAAATTCTCGGTCAGGAACGGTAGCTCATGCCTACAAACCCAGCACTTTGGGAGGCCGAGGTGAGAGGACTGCCTAAGCCCACAGATTCAAGACCAGCCTGGGCAACTTGGTGAGACCTCATCTCTGCAATAAATCAAAAAATTAACTGGGCATGATGGCACGTGCCTGTGGTTCCAGCTACTTGGAAGGCTGAGACAGAAGGATTGCCTGAGTCCAGCAGGTGGAAGTTGTGGTGGCTGGGAGTGTGCCATTGCCCTCTAGCCTGGGTGACAGAGTGAAATTCCAACTCAAAAAAGAAAGAAAGAAAGAAAGAAAAAATGCTCAGCCTCACTAGTCATCAAAAAAATGCAAATTAAAACCACACTGAGAGGCCACCTAAATCCAGTCAGAATGGTCTTCATTAAGAACTCAAAAAACAACAGATGCTGGACAGGATGCAGCAGAAAGGGAACACTTCTACACTGTTGGTGGAAGAGTAAACTAGTACAACCTCTGTGAAAAATAGTGTGGCGATTCCTAAAAGATCTAAAAATTGACCTTCCATATGACCCCACAATCTCTCTACTTGGAATATACCTGGAAGAACTCAAGTCACTCTATAAAAAAAAGATACCTGCACACATATGTTTATTGCAACATCATTCACAGTAGCAAGAACATGGAACCAGCTGTGCTATATATCAAAGAGGACTGGATTAAAAAAATATGGTACATATACATGATGGAATATTATGCAGCCATAAAGAAGGACAAAATCATGGACTTCACAGCAACTTGGATGGATTTAGAGTCTATAATACTGACTGATGTATCACAGAAACAAAGAACTGAGTATCACATGTTCTCACTCATAAGCGCATCTTGAACAATTATCAAAGTACTATAAGAAAAGGATTGGCAGTAGCAGGAAACTGATGGGGGGTGGGGAAGGGAAGAGGTGGGGTTGGTAGTAGTGGGAATCTGCCAAGGAAGGGGACCACACTTCATCACCAAAGGTGATAAAGGTACCTGCATAATGAACATTTGGATACCTAACCCTGAATTGTACCCCACATCTTTAAAACAAAAAAATTAAAAGGGGGGGAAGTACAGATGCCAAAATTCATTGTTTCCCTTGTTTAAAAATCTCAGGAAAAAAAAATTTCAGATAGGACAAAATTAATTTTGAAAATGAGTGATTTGATCTCATTTTTAAGTTATTTTCATACTTAAATGGTTCATGGTTTCCTCATAAACTCCTCTCTGTGCCAGATGACTTAACACAGAAAACAAAAGCATATACATAGTTTTTCATATTTAAGTAAGAGCTTTTAAAAAATCATCTGTCTATCAAAGGAGTTAGGGGCGAGAATCAATTAAATTATAATCATTTGCCAGGCTCGGTGGCTCAGCCTGTAATCCCGCGCTTTTGGAAGCTGAGGTGAGTGAATTGCCTGAGCCCGTGGGTTCGAGACCCGCCTGGGCAACTTGGTGAGACCACATCTCTATAATAAATAAATAAAAAATTAGCCGGGGGTGGTAGCGCGCGCCTGTAGTTCCAGCTACTTGGAAGGCTGAGGCGGAAGGATCGCCAGAGCCCAGCAGGTCGAGGCTGTGGTGGCTGGTAGTGGCCACTGCCCTCCAGCCTGGGTGACAGAGTGAGGCTCCAACTCAAAAAAAAAAAAAAAAAAATTTATAATCATTTATGATTATAAGGTATTTTTCTTTACGTAAAGTTAAGTCAAGGTTGAAATTTTTCTCCTAACTTAGAAAATCTGCAATGCATAAGAGAGTTAGGAAAGTAAAATTTCTGCTCCAGCTCTTTAACTAATATATTCTAGGAGCTGTACCTACCAGACCTCAGTTTCTATATCTCTAAAATAAGGGCAAGTGGACCATCTTGGACAATGTGTGAGGCTGTACTACTTGCTCCTTGGTGCACTGGTCCTCTCAAGAGCTGACCTGTCTGTCTTATGGGTGGGAAACTGAGGTCAGAGGGATGACCATGAATATAACTGAAGGATAAGAGGCAGGCTGGCATAATGTCTAAGTTTCCTGAGAGTTTAAGATGTTAGGGCTTGGTGGTATTAATACTTTCTTAGGTTCATGGGGCAACTCAGGGTCATACTACTGGGTTCATACCACAGGATAATACCTGCTGAGAAGTGCTAGAGACACTCACTCCTGGGGTTGAGACTGGTCCTGAGTGTAAAGGGGAATTCTAACTAGAATTAGGTGAGCAGAAGGAGCAGTAATACTGTCTTACTTCTAAAGAAACTTAAACACCAAAAATTATCAAAAAATGACACCTATTTGCATTTCACTTGGGATTAATAAAGTGTGCATACTCATCTGCAACTTCCATCTAATTCCCATTGCCTGCAAATAGAATCAGATGGAAAAGGGAGAAGAGAAAGCTCCCTTGAACTCCTCAGGGAATTAAGTGACAACAAATTGACTATTAAGTGCACAATAGGAAGCAAGTCCTCTCTGGCCTTCAACCACATCTTTCAAGCCCTATTGCTGAGAATAGAAAATTCTAAGCTCAATTTGAGTGTCACTATAAACTTCCCTCTGTGCCAGATGATTTTATATACATATTTATATCCAAAGTACAAACAACTTACAATGTTTACACTGAGTAGTAATCGAAGTCATGTGTCAAATACAATGGGGGGAAGAAAGTAACTCTTCAGAACTAAAGCTTGAAGATATACAATATCTGTGGAAAATCTGGCTTACAAGTAAGAATGCATTGTTTACCTATTCCGTTTAATTATAGAGAACATGCATTTTAACCCTTTGCATACAATTTCTGAAGTCTCATTCTTTTGGTTTGGTTTTTGCTCTGTAGTGCTGCCTGAAGCTATGGAGGTATCACAGCTCCTGGCACAGAATCTCAAAAAACAGGGCCACACACATTTCTGTGATTTGTGATCCCCACCCCCAGGGAGAGGCTGTAAAGGATTCCTCCACCATACTCAAAAGCAGAAGAGTAAAAGAAGTGAAGAGAGCCTTCCTTTGAAGTGGACTCAGATGCCTGTGTGCACTGGCTTACCTCAAGGCCTGCCCTTGCGAAGGATGCTCTTTGGACTTAACGAGGACTATACCAAATGCTCACCTGAGGCCTCTAGACCATTTTGCTTTAAAACTCAGAGTTTCTCCTTTTGCTCTTCCTATCACACAGCAGAGAGGCCACCTTTGTCTTCTCTCACTTAGGCAGTTCTACTTGCTCCTTTCGACTGCGGTAGAGAACATCCTAATGCATTCTTCTAAACATACATGTATTTTTTAAAGAAGCTGGCACTTCATTACTGGAAATTGTCATACACTCATTTTCAATTTGATTCCACAGACATACTACTGAGGCCCACTGAAAGTTCATTTTCCCTCACTACACCAAGTAACGCCCCAAACCCAAAATCTAAAAACTGGAATTGGTATGAGGAAGCAACAAACCAGGAAGGAAAACAAAAAACAAAAGTAAGTAATCTGTAGAATTGCATTTAAAATGGACAGTGCTCTATATATCAGTTTTTGCCTCTATACTAAAATTTCGCTTCCTAAGAACACACAACCAATTTTAAACAGAACCTAATTAAAGCTAAAAAAAACCAACCAACAATATATTTATAGTTTTGAACTTCCTTTAATTTAGAATCTTTGGCTGCTCGATATATTTTGCATCGCACTTATATGGCCTGAGGAAAAAAATGATGAGTCGTATGATTATTTAAGTTACATTATAGTAACTGAAGAGCTAAACATATCTTACCTGTAAGTATGTTTCCAAACCTTGTCGTCGTTGTTCCAGAACTTTGGGGACCCAGTTCCTAACATGTTTAGAAGGGATTTCTGGAGTTTTTATACATTTCTTAAGCTAAAAAGACAGAACAGAAAAAAAAAACAGAAACAGAGATGTCTGTTAACTATAATGGTATTATTTGGGGGGAAAAGCCAATAAAAGAAAGCGAACCACTGCTAGCTCCAATAAAAAATAAAGGAAAATATACGGAAATTTTGTTAAACAATTCTTTATTTGGATGTCCTGATTATTCAGGTTTCAAAATAAATGTTTTGTGTTTGGCAGGAGTTATTATTGATATGTTATTGGAAATGTTATTGGAAATTGAGTTAGAGCTGTCTGTGGAAGGCAGAATAATCTCCTAAAGATATCCCCCAAAGATGTCTAGATCCTATACCTGCAAATGTTACCTTACACAGCAAAAGGGACCTTGCAGATTTAGCTAAATGAGTGATCTTAGAATGGGGAGATGGATCCTGGAATACCAAAGCGGACCTAATGGAATCATAAGGATCCTTATAAGAAGGAGACAGCAGAGTCAGAATCAGAAAGACACTGAAAGAAACTATATGGCTGGCTTTATTTTTACATTTTGAGTCAGAGTCTCACTCTGATGCCCAGGCTAGAGTGCAGTGGCACGCTCATAGCTACTGCAGCCTCGACGTACTGGGCTCACTCAGGTGATCCTTCTGTCTCAGCCTTCCAAATAGCCAGAACCATAGTCATGCACCACCATGACTGGCTAATATTTTTAATTTATTGTAGAGACGAGGTCTTGCCAAATTGCTCAGGCTGGTCTCAAACCCCTGGGCTCAGGTAATCCTCTCGCCTCTGCTGGGATTATAGGCTTCAGCCACCACACGTGGCCTGTGGCTGGCTTTAATAATGGAGGAAGGGGCAAAAAGCCCAGGTAACCTCTGGCAGCTGAAAAGGGACAGAAATGGATTCAGCCCTAGGGCCTCCAGAAGGAATGCAGTCCTGTTGACACCTTGATTATAGTCCAGTAAAATTCAGTTTGGACTTCTGATCTCAAGAAGTGTAAGATAATAAATATGTGTTCTTTTAAACCATTTAGTTGAAGATAATTTGTTATAGCAGCAATAAGTAACAAATGCACTGCCTCTAAAAATGGAATGAATCTTAATTTCTAATTTAAAACTTGAAAATATCTACCAAGGTTACTCCTTACTACACATGCAAAGAAACACATGATAATATAAGGAATGCACACAATTAAACCTGGACAGCTAAAACTATAATAAAAAATTCTTCCCATATACAAGAGTATATCCATCATTAAGCATTCTAGGCTGAAACCTGTCATACACCGTGAAGAAGGGGCCCATGAAATGGCTAGAGCTAGGGCAGCCACCCTGGACTCTGAGGGAGAAGTCTCAGGCTGAGAATGGTACAGCAACAAGAGCCTTGTCCCTGAGGATCATGAAACTGCCACACTAGCCCTAGACATTTATGTGAGACATGAACCAAGTTATTACCTATTAATGTCACTATTATTTTGATTTTAGAGTCACTTGCAGCCAAATCTAATCCCACATGAATAAGGGAAACGGCTGGCACTGCTAGCTACCTACCCAATATTCATTTGCTCCTTCTTGGAGAAAAAAAAAAATCAATGTCATTCAGAGGGCCAACATACTGGTTTCCCAGGTACCCTTGTGATCAAAGTGACTGTGTTAACAAAATGTAGTACAAGTCTACTGAGTAGGGCTCCTATACTCCTAACAAAAAGCTACAGGCTCTTCTTCCTTCCAGAATTGTGAAAGCAACACCTGGTGGGATAGCAGCTATGTTGTAACCAGAGGGTGAAAGTCACTGCTAAGGTGAGGATGGTGACACTGGAAGACAGAAGAAGCCTGGAACATGGATGTCAAGAGATGACCACATCACCTTGACTGCCTGCCTTCAGTTTTCCTGTAATGCAAGAAAAATACATCTCTTACTTGTTTAAGAAACTTAATCAAGTTTCTATCACATACAATGAAAAATATTCCTAACATAAAAGAATCACTTGTTCTAGCTTGAAGATGTTAAGTCAGAGATGCCCAATAGGCATCCAAGTAGAGATGATAGGTAGGCAGCTGGATATGAGTCTGTAAGTCTGAAAGTCAGAATATATAAGTGGCATTTGGAGTTATGGAACTGGAGGAGATTACACTGAGAGTTAGGCACAGATGGGAAAAAAGGGCTGAGGTGGATACAATTTTTAAATGGTCCACTGGTGAACACACTTTGTATGATTCTCTTCTCCTGAGCATGGGTGAGCCCTGTAAATCTGTAAATACGGTAGGACAGTCACTCCTGCAATTATGTTACATTACATATGACTTAGTCCTAGTAGACTGCTATCTTTGAATAAAAACCTGTCATGATATAAGACAGCCACATGGCTAGGACCTGAGAGTTGAGGAGCTAAGAGTTGCCCCTGCTCTACATTCAGCAAGAAAAAAAAGGGGATCTTGCAACTGCAAGCCACTGAATTCTGACTGAGTTTAGAAAGGGACCCCACACCTCAGGTAGTATCACAATCTTGGGTGACCCTTAGTTTTAGCCATTGAGACCCTAAACAGAAAATCCAGTAAACCTGTGCACAGACTCCTGACCCATGGAAACTCTGAGGTAATACGTTTGTGTGGTTTTAAGCTGCTAATATTTGTGGTAATCTGCCATGAAGCAACAGAAAACTAATACAATGGCCAAGGTGTGAGATACCGCACTCTGTGAAGCAGGGCAAGGGAAGAAGAGGGCTAGGGGAAAGTGGGTTCCATCAGGAAAGTGTTTCAAGAAGGTGGGCCTGATGAGACTATACCAAATGATGATGAGAAGTCAATTACACCGGGCGCAGAGAGAAGGGTAGTAGGGAAGTAAAGGCTCCTCTCTCAAGGACTTCTACTAAAAGAGTACATGGGATGAACATGGGGGGAAAGTGTGGGGTCAGAGGCAGGCTTTATTTTGTTGAATAGGAACTACTGTAACAGTTCATACATTGATAAGACTGAGTATTGAGGGGAAACTGACAATGCAAGAGAGAGAGGAGGAGAAATTTATGATTGCAAGGGACTGAATATCTATCTCATCTCTATATTGTTTGAGGTATTTCTCAATAAGAAGGAGGCCAAAATGCTACATTATTTTGTAGTAAGCTCATTAAGTTCCCATTTGAACACAAAGAAGCTTCCTTTAAAACTAGTGAAACATATATTTCAGAATAAAAAAATAAACTCCATTATGTGTCTCTCCTTTTTTTAAATTTAAATCTTGAAGATAGAGCACTGAAAACATTTTCCCTTTTTATTTATGTCAGGAATACTGAGAAAGCGGATCATCATAACTGCTAGGATGTGTGACAGCACTTGTAGGTGAGTAATGAATTGCTTTAGATGAGAGACAAACCCGAGACAATACGTTTCCAGTAGGGCTCAGCTGCTTACAAGATAAATACTACTTTGCCACTTCATCTGATGATTAACTGTACTGGCCTTGCTGCGTCCAGGCAAACGGTCCTTCTGATGCACACAGATAAGAACCAGATTCCAGGATACCATAACACAATCCCCTTTTCCTGGTGTGACCACTCCCTTTCCCTTTTTATACTGTTAGAGGCATTTACACAGAACTTACTCCATACAGACCGGCCATTGTATACATTGGTTATAGTAACCATTTTCCCCAGAAAGGATCAGAAATACTTTTCCCAAGCACACGAACAAAAATAATGAAAAAAAAATAAGTTAAAGAAGTGAGAGACATGGAGGTAAAAACCCAATCTTTTTCCCCATACAGCCACCCCTATTTCCTCGGGTTTCCCTTGAGAGACAGTGTACTATTAGCTTGATCCCATAAGGCAGATTTTTGCTTCTTCTGAAAAGGAGGCAATAACAAAAATGAAGAGAGTTAATTTAAAAACGAATCAACACCGTATTTCACTGAAAATTTGTGAAAAAAAGGGTAGGCTACAACTGACTGAAAACAGCTAGAAAGGCCCATAAAATAAAATATGCTTAGCAGTTTGAAATGCAGGGAAGGTTTTATGACCATACATGCAATTGCAGATCTAGGCGGAGGTAAAGCTTTTTCAAAGTACCACTGTTTAAAATGGTAAGTTATTTGGCTGTAGTGGGTCATAGACAGGTGTAGCCAGCACAGGGGAAAGCACTTGCAAGCCTGAAGGTTCACCCTGTCAAAAGAGCCTGTGCCAGAGCTGGAAGAGAGAAGAACAGGGTGAGTTTTGCTCCTTTCTCGGTGTGATGGTGATGTGTTTCCCATCTGCTTAGCTGAGTAGGCGCTACAAAGGAATCAGGGCAAGTGAAACCTGGGATTAAACTTAACAGTGAACACAAGGTACACAATAGAAACTGTTCTTCTCAACGGAGCTGTTTCTCTAATAATTCATAAATATGTCTGATGTTCTCTAAATATCCTATTTGCCAAATATTTAATGCCTAATATGTAGCTGACACTCTGTGTGGAAGATACAAAAGATTAAGACATGGTCCCTACTTTTAAAAAAGTATCTTCTAATTAGACAAAATTTAGTGGAAATTAAGTTTTTGTTTCCAATGTTGACGCAGAAATCTCTACTCTAAATGGAACAGAAGTTCCAAGAACAGAGAGATTAGAGAGTAAAGAAAGCTAACATGAAAGAAGAAGAACTTAAAATGTCTTGGTATGGCTTGAATAGATTAGGACACAGGAAAGGACATTCAGCATAGGAAAGAAAGCAGGTTGCAATTATCACAGCCAGCACACACCCAGGTGAAGGGGGAGGCTGGCTCATTGTCACCGAAGATATCTTAGGAGGAGTGAGAAATCAGGTCGACCAGTAGAGAGGTTAGTAGTTGACAAAATCATAGTTCTCTGAAAGATGTCCAGAATCTATAAATATATTCACTTCCATGGGAAAAGGGCCTTGCAGATGTAATTAAATTAGAGGTCTTGAGATGGGAAGTTTGCTCTGGAGTATCACAAGGGAAGGTAGAAGTGTTGAGTCAGAGAGAGATGTGATGCAGGAAATTTTATGATGGAAGCAGAAGTTGGAGTAACATGATTGCTGGCTTTAAAGATGAAAAGGGCCGCGAGCCAGAGAATGCAAGTAGCCTTGGGAAATGGAAAAGGAAAGGAAATGGATTCTTTCCTAGAATACCCCCTAGAAGGAACATAGCCCTGCCAGCCCAGTTAGAGTAAGATAATAAATGTGTGTTGTTTTATACCACTCAATTTTTGGTAATTTGCTACAGCAGCAATAGAAAGCTAATATGGGATTTAAGATGATTGGCCTTGAGAGTCAATGTCTATGATATAGCACACAATACAGGCCCATTTCAGTGTGAGTGAGAGAATGGAGCTGAATATAGTGCTTTAGGAAAACTGATCTACAGCAGAGAATGAATAAGAAGATCCAGATCCAAAATGGTTAAAGCGATACTAACAAAAAGTAGTAAGACAATGAACTGGGATGGTAGGAACAGAAAATGAAAAATTAAGTGGTGCATGTTATAGGAATCTGGGAGAATAAATAAGCAGGACTTAGTGACATTCTGGATAATACAAGGTGACAGAAAGATAGGAACAACCTCCAAGATTTAACATCTTGAGATGCATAGTTCTATACCTGTGACTTCAGTGTGTGTGAGATGGAGGTTGGGTGGGAAGGCTTATTCTAAGTGATGCCTTTAAAAATATAATCACACTATAGAGAATCTCCAACTTCTACAGGCATTAAGATCATCTGGGGTTCTGGTTTAACAGGTAGATTACTGGGCTCCATCACAGAGATTATGATTCAGTATGTCTGGAATATAGCCAAGGAATCCCTTAAGTAATCCGAAATTCACACTTTGAAATATACCAATTTAGAAAAACTAAAAATTTTCATCATAGCTCTAGAAGAAATGACTAATTTTCGATAATAAGCTGAAAGGGTAAAAATGGACATATTAGACAACACTAAAACTTTTATAAATTAAAATAAATATCATAACCAAAATTAAAAGGTCCTTGGTTAAAAAAATACTTTTAGCAAATGGCCAATATTTTATTAAAAAGGCCACATATACTAATAAGTAAAAACAACCAAGACACCAGCAGATAAATGAGAAAGCACAACAACAGGCAATTCAAAAAAGAGGGACTACAACTCCAAAACAAACTTAAGAAATACCAATTACGCTGGGCGCTGTGGCTCAGCCTGTAACCCCAACACTTTGGGAGGCTGAGGCGAGAGGACTGCCTGAACCCAGGGGTTCGAGACCAGCCTGGGCAACTTGGTGAGACCTCGTCTCTACAATAAATCAAAAAATAAGCTGGGCATGGTAGCACGTGCCTGCAGTACCAGCTACTTGGAAAGCTGAGGCAGAAGGAACGCCTAAGCCCAGCAGGTCAAGGCTGTGGTGGCTGTGAGCATGCCACTGCACTCCAGCCCGGGTCACAGAGTGATACTCCAACTCAACTAAATAGATAAATAAATAAATAAATGCCAATTAAAATAAGGTAACACACATGCTAAACTAATGAACATAATTTTTAGAGGGGTAATATAGTTGAATATTTCAAGAAATTCAAATGACATTACATTTAATTATATCTTTCTTTCTTTCTTTCTTTCTTTTTGAGTCAGAGTCTCATTTGCCCAGGCTAGAGTGTAGTGGTACGCTCATGGCTATTGCAGCCTCGACACTGGTCAGGTGACCATTCCACATTAGCCTTCAAGTAGTTGGGACCACAGGCACATGCCATCATGCTCGGCTAATTTTTAAATTTATTGTAGAGACAAGTTCTTGCCATGTTGCCCAGAGTGGTCTCAAACTTCTGGGCTCAGACAATCCTCTCACCTTTGCCTCCCAAAATGCTGGGATTATAGGCGTGAGCCACCATGCCTGACCAGATTTAACTATATTTAAAGGGAAAATATTTTATGTTAAAATATAACATTCAAAGCATGTCACAAAATTCAAATCTGGCAATTGAGGGTACCAAAAGGATAAGGTCACACAATGGGACAGCAGCAATCAGTAAAGCTTGTATATTCTGATTAATTTTTATCTATTTCAATCCTTCTCAGCACAAAATTGTACAGTCAAAATTACAAATTTATGTTTATTTTTACACCCTACCATTACTTGTATTTAACTGCCTTCTGTAGTTACCTTTTGCCAAATCTAACATAATCACAACTAGGCAATTTCTAGCAGCTGCTATCCCCTCTATAATACATTAGATTAGATAGTTATCCCAGTTAACACAGTGCCCCACACAGCTATTTTTATCCCTATGTCCCTGTAAAGATGTCTCCAATATTTTAGCCAGGCTGCCAAAAATATGCCAACTAGAGAGATTTGAGAATTTCTTTTCTATTAAATCTGAGAGGCCCTATTATATAATTACAGGACTGGCTAAAATTATTAATAGAACTGCAGCAACCGAGAGAAAAGTGAGTCCCTGAAAATCTAGGAATTTTTTCTGACCATGAATAGCTAAAAACCGCCTACAATCACTGGGAAGAGGGTTCTCTTCTGCAGAAGAAAATAAATCGTATTAGAGATGAGAACTGGGTGATTCAAGACGCCTGGGCAGCTTCTTGCTCAGGGCAGGCCTAATTGGCAGTCACCCAGCTGTGCCTGGCGTGGAGCTGGTCCCCAAGTATCTGGAGAGGACAGCTGGGCCCTGTCGGGGTCACCACAGTGCTGGGTGCTGACCTGGGAGGGCAGCAAGGGGCCTGCATGTGACAGACTGCCTAGTCCAGACTGGTCAGCAGAGACTGGGCAAAGGGAGAGCTCTGGTTTTATTCTCACTGCAGGGACTTATTTCATAGGTACGCGGCAGAAGTCTCTCTAGAATCTATGTTTTCTCAAAAAGCATACAAACAAAAACAGAATTCCACGAGAAGGAAGTGAGTCCCAGACGCCAGGTTTGTTTTTCTTGGTGCTTTTGTAAAGTCTGCTGGCAACACCTGGCCTAAACCTGTGTTCACCCGTACTGTTTCTTCTTGAAGACATCCCGATTGAACAAAATCTAATTGGAGACCTAAATGTGGATTATCTCTTGCTATCCCAACAGAAGAGGATACAGGTAACTTAAAGTTCCCCTTTGAAAGAAAATCAAAGGAAACAATCTTACTAATCTCTCAATAATATCCTGTAAAAGTTTATATTCAATTCTCTACTCTCCTGACTTTTAAAAAAGTAGAGAAGTTTCATTTTTAAAATGCTAAAGAACTTTTAATACAGAGTTAACATACCATCACATCATTTATGCACCGACATTTTCCAGAAAATGAAAGTCTTTAATAGAAGTGAAAGAATAGACTCTGTCTTTCTTAATGTACTTAGTATCTAACCATTTAACTTCTTACCTAACAAGTACATGAAGAAACTGAATCGTCATACAGTGTACACACACACACACATACACACACACACACACACACATTTCATGTTATGTATGTGTGTGCATATATATACACATATATTTCATCCATATATGAAAGGAAAATGGTAAAATTGCACTGATATACAAGGTGGTTTTTCTGGGCAACTTCATAAGTTATTTCTAGTTATCAAGATAATTTCAGCACCCCAATAATAACTTATAACCTGCAAACAATTAAATTTGGGTAGAAAATAAATAAGTATTCACTCTTCTTTATTTACCATTTCTCCCCCAGACTCAGCTACTCCCTCTGCATTTCTGTCTCTTTTATCTAAGACTTTTATGACATGAATCCTAGAACTGAAATATCAGCTTTGTGAAGTGGCCCTCCACCATTTATGAGAAGGCTATGAGCGTCTCTTCACATGTGTTTTTCAGTCCTTCGATACATATGCACATGCATATGATCATTTCTAGGTAAATGTAAGTACAAGTTGAGTTTAATACATTTCTTTCTGTAAATGATCATTGGCTTTCTTTCTTCCTTTTTGTTAACAGCATTAAGTATACTTTATGGATAAAATAGGGTCTGAGGCGTATTCTCTCTGAACCTGTAATGTTCAGTGCAGCACACTGTAAACAGCTTGCAGCCTCAGATTTTTATATATGTAAGTGATCTTAACAGGAAACCCCCTACTCAGAAAGCACAACTTTAAGGGTATGAATATTTTATTTTAAAAGTAAATGTACTTTATAATAAAAGAAACCACATGTACACAAAAATATTAATTCTTTTAGAACCACAGAAAGGAGTCTTAATGTTACACCATCTGCCATACAGAGAAAGAAAAAATAACAAAGATTACCTTTTTGTGCAAAGCATGAAATTCGCTGTACCTTTTTTCAACAAAATGTTTTCTTCCATTCATTAGCACTTCTATCTTAAACACCTAAGGAAAAAATTAAAAAGATTAATTCTACTAGTTCAAGATCCTCAATTGTCTGATGTGGTAAGTTTGTGACCATGATATATTTCATCCCTTTAATTACAGTAGCCGATCCTCCAAAACCCAGAAGGCTCAGGAGACCCTGGCCCAACAGCACTGATTAATGAGCACTCGAACCAAATGCTCACTAACAAACTACAGCATTCTCCAAAAACGCATCTAAAAACAAGGGAAACTTCAGTACATTAAAACATTACTTAATTTTTTAATTAGACACTATTTCTTCTCATTTAAAATGATTTCACCAAATGAATATGATGGTATTGAAATAAAAGTGGAATTCAAGAGCAACACTCTGGTAAAAATCGAGGGCACGCAGTATTCCACTATGGGCATTGCAAGGAAGGCAGCACTCTGTCATCTAGAAGACAGTCATGCAAACAGTAGTGCATTTTAGGTTAATTTCTTCCTAACCTGCATATTCATCTCTAGTCTCAGCTGGGCTTATTCTGCTGTTTGCAAAACAGGGGAAATGAAGTAAAGGCTCATTTTCCCTGCATGATACGAGTGACAGCTTGTGCTACTACCTCCAGAAGGTTGAAAGGCCAGATGAAAAGGCTCTCTGGGTGCGCTAATTAGTAGGCACTAACATGACATTTTCTTGATTCTTGGGTCAGTGGGTCAAGACTGGCAACAAGGGATGAGAAATATTGTGAAATGCTCATGAAAATACAATGTTAAATTTGGTACAGAGGGATGGTTACTAAAGAGAAGGTACTCCATCATTCCAAGAGTTTGTATTTGATTCTTGTTTTGCTAAATGAGAGTTTGCAAACTCCAAGATGAAGGAATATTGTTCAATTACTTAATAAGCCTAATTTTCTATTTCAATTACCTTTTTGAAAAAAAAAAAACTAAACTGTAGTTGAGGTCACATAACACAATAGTGTTAAAAGAAGACTTACTTTAAGCTTAAAAATAGGAACTACTTAAATTTAGTATATGAGATACAAGGTCACGCACCTTCATGAGGAAAACAGATTTCTATGGCTCTATATTTCTCCCTTATATGTAAACACAACTATCTTAGAAAGCCAGAAATTATGTCATCAAACATACAATCTGTTTGCATTTTTGTCTTCTTTGAATCAGAAACAAAGTCTTTTGTTGTATGACAGCTTAAGAAACCTGATTTTATTAAGTGATAAATTTTTACTAATGTAATCAATGTTTTATATTAACCTTTTTTTAGGAAATCTCCCTAAATACTTTGGTGATTGAGTGAAAATATTTTCTTCTAAAAACATATGCATATGCTGTAAACCCTCAGATATATGTACAATGTTTTTCAGGGGGGAAAAAATCTGTTTGCTAGTACACCCGAGAAAATTATTCTTCTTCCAAGACCTTACCAGAAATAGAATCAGGAAAACATCACAAGAAACAAAAACAAAAGAAGTACAGCTTTAACTTGGGGGCCTGGTTAACAGGTTACAAAGCCCCCTTTTTAGCATCAGGTTCCAGATTAAAATCAGGACAATGTGGTAGCAATGAAAGTAGTTTCCATCTGTTGAGCTATATGAAATAAATGAAGCTATGTTCTGGGTCTAGTTGTTTGAGGCTCCATCACAAAAATCACCACCATAATTGGTACATTTACTGAAGAATCTATAGAACAGGGAGAAGGTTGAAGAGTCATAAGGCTCAACTTACTGGGTCACCCTTCAAAAGACCACCCTCTTGCAGGTAGGGATAAGACAAGTTACACAATGGCTGCTTCATGGAATGTCACACCTTCTACTGACCAGATGTTTCCATCACCAAGTTCCACAGTTACTCTCAACAAGCACTGAATTCACAGTGGGGGAGGGGGAGGGTGGATGTACACACACCCATAGGAAAGTATGTGATAAATTTAATTATAATTTGTTATGTTATTTTTGGAGGAAAAAAAAATCTACAACATACCTAATACTGTTAAAACTTTTTTTTTCTAAATTCTGGGAAAACATCTTGGAAAGGAAGTTGGTTCATCAGGATTTCCATGACAAAGTGAAGCAAGAAGTAGGGTCAACTTAATAAATCCTCTTTTTTTTTGAATACCATAACAGACCATTAAAAAAAAAAATTTCCATTTTTCTTACATGTGTTTTCCCTGCTGCCTGGAAATTCTTTTTCTTGCTTTGCTCTCTTGGCAAACTCCTAGTAGTTATTATGTCCCTCATAAGGTGGTGGCATCACAGGATGGTGTTTGGAAGGCACTCAGTGTAGTAGCATTCATTTGCTTATTTATTCAACAGATACTCACTGAGGACCTATGACATGCCCAGGAGTTGTTCAAGGCACTGGGATTCAGCAGTGAACAAAACAGACAAGATCCCAGCCTTCAGGGAGCTTACCTCCTATCCAGGGAGGGAGGCCAACTACAAATACATGAATAATATCGCTATCTTAAGAAATCAGCAGTGCTCTGAAGAACAATATAGCAAGGTGAGGAGATCCTGATTGACAAAAGTGCTGTTTAGGGAGTGTGGTCAGAGAAGACCTCCCTGAGCAACAAGGTGATGAGAGGTTCTGAACCCAGAAATAAATACCAGGAAAAAGGGCATGCAAGAATTGAGTGTGGTTGCCTTTGGAATTTCAGACTGGCTGTGGGTGGACAGGAACTGTTTTCACTCTTAATAAAAAAAATTAAAATTAAAGCCTAGAGCATTTCTGGCCAAGATGGAGTAACAGGAAGCAGACTTACTCTCCCACTTGAAACAACTGGACAAAATAAATAACTGCACAAAATATGTGGAAAAAATGGCTCTCAAGACATCGGACATCAGGAAATGAAGGACAGTGAGAGACAGGAAATAAACAAGGCAAGCCCTACAATTACCTCAGCTTAGCTGCCTGGAGAAGCTTTCCAGGCCTCAGCCTAGGGAAGGGGACCCCACCCAGGCGGAGCCCTGTCTTTCCCTGGGTTAAGGAAAAGGAACTAAGAGAGAGGGGAAGCCAAGGTGGTTAGAGTTTGTAGGGCAGGGAAGTGGATTAGAGTGAGCTACAGGGTGAACTACTGTGGCCCCAAGAGGCCTCCCTCAAGTACTCAGGTGAGAACCAATCACCACATGGGACTGGAAAAACTAGCCAAGGATGGGAAAAGAATGAAAAACAAACAAACAAACAAACAAACAAACAAAAAACAGTGCTCAGGGCTCACATACAACTAGGAATAGTGCCTTCCCAAAAGCTGGGGTAGAAAACCTCATACTTCATGAGGCATTAGTTAATCAGAAGGGTCTTGACTCAGGAGTGGAGCAAAACTAATTACAGACTAAAAGCTGTTTTAGCTCAGTTTAACAAAGTTTAAAAACAAGACCTGAAGAGACAAGATCATTTCTGGGTAACTTAACCACATGCTAAAACAACGCTCAAGAGTATTTTTAGGAATACAAAAATATCTAGAACCCAAAAGGATAAAAATCACAAAGTATGACATCCAACCAAAGAGAAGTAGGAAAGCATACCTCATAATGAGAAGAAAAACCAACCAACTGAAACCGATTCAGAAATGACACATGATGAAATTAGTAGATAAAAACATTAAAATGGTTACTTCAAGAATTATGTTCAAGAACCCAGAAGAAAGACTGGCCAGGTTAAGTGGAGGTATGTAAGATTTAAAAAAAAAAAAAGACTCAAGTAACAGCTCTGGGTTCTGTTGATGAAATTAACAATGTCTGTAATGAACAATTTAGTGGATTTTAGCAGATTAGATTTTGCAGAAGAAAAAAATTAAATCAGTGATAAAGACCTAGCAATAGAAACTATCCAAAATGAAATAAAGATGGGGAAATCTAAAAAAAATGGATAAAGGAACAAAGTATCAGTAAACTATGGAACAACTTTCAACAGCAAAATATATGAACAATTGGAGTTCCCAAAGGAGAGGTGGGGTGTGCGATGAAAGTTAAGGAGAAAGACTAATATTTGAAGAAATCATGGCCAAAATTGTTCCCAATTTGATGGAAACTAAAAATCCACAGTTCCAAGACCAATGGACTCAAGCACGAGAAAATTTAAAAACACAAAAATTCAAGGCTTTTCATAATCAATTGCTTAAAACCAAGAGAAAAGAGAAAACCTGAAAAGCAGGCAGAGAAAAAAGAGACATTAGGTAGAAAAAGAACAAGATAAGTCTGATAGCACATCTCTCTAATAGTACTATTAGTAACCAAGCAATTATGACAGCAATCACAACAAAGACTTTTACAGCACTTATTATACACAGACGCTGTTCCAGCCTCTTATTGCTAGTAATGATCCATTTAATCCTCAACCCTACCATACTAAGGTAGGTAGCATTATCCCCATTTTGCATGTAAGAAAAATGAGATGAAAAAAGAAAATGGAGAAATTACATAATTTGATCATGGTGGGGCTGCATTTTGAATCCAGTTATTTGGCTCCAGAATCTATTGTCTTTTGGACCACAAGGCTGACCCCTAATGAACAGATACCTTTATATAGTTTTGAGCCTATTCATTGGAAAAACTAAACACTTGGAAGTGGGAGAAACCCAGGAGCATTATAGAATGATGACTATATCTTGTATTCATTCCCCATTCAAGGTTCTTTCCTTTAGAAGGGGCTTTATAGGAACTGAGAACCCCTGGGATGGGGAGATGGTGGCATGAGATCTTTACTCCCAACTACTTCAAGCCTATGCTCCTCTCAATCCTGAAAAGAGTAAGAGGGACATTTATTTAAGAATCAGACATTGGTCTATATTTAAAAAGCATGCAACTCTGTCGAGCAGAAGGGTACTATTTTATATTACTTCCTCCTGGCAGGGTCTGTACCCACCGTACCCCCTGAATCTCCTTACACTGTAGTTCCAAATCTTAGCTTGTGTGCTTTTTACTATAAAAATAGTATGTGCTTAGAGGAAAAAATTTCAAAAAGTCCACAAGGGTATATAAACTGAAAAGTATAAGTATCTTACATAAGAAGACTGT